GCGCACGTAAATCACGGGGGGAGGCACGTCGGGCGAGAAGGAAGTCGGTGTCGTGGCCGGGAACGAAAAAGAAACGAGGAAAGAACGTCGGAACAGCGGAGGAGAAAAACGGCGAAAGAATAATTTCAAGAATTAACAAGGATTTCAGGCCCGGCAGCCGTTTCATCGTCGCGTCGACATTAATATTAGCCGGGGTCTGCTCCTAGATCGATCTCGGTGCCCGGTATTCAGTTTCATTTATCGTTTCTTAGATCGGCTTGGACCAAGGACGCTAGGCTAGATTCAACGATTACTCGTCCACCGGCCGGTAAGATCTCTCTCGATCCTCGAAGAGGACTGACGGATCGATTTCATTATCCTAGCCGGCCGAGCTCGTACGTCTTCTCCTCTCGCGGGCTCCTTTCGCTAGCCCTGTAGACCGTCCGCGGCGATAGCGATTCAGGAATGCTCCCTCTCGGCTATCGTTCATCAAGGCGTCAGTATAATCTCATTCTACTCTGTTACAGATTTCCTGTACCGGCACAGTGTTACCATCGATAACGTTAATACCGAGGTCGAGATATTGGACACTTCCAGGTGCGAGGTAAGTTCTGTTTGCCTCCTTGCCCCTTTCATCCCTGGATGTTCTTTTCTTTTGCTTTTATTTCGTTCTTTCTGTTCGTCTCCTACGTTTCGTTCGCGGCCTCTGTAAATTTCGCGCGAGGCTCGTACCTCGCGACACGCCAGGTTATAATTTCACTCGGCCGAGACGAGTTTATGGTAATGAAAACGAGAAGGGGGATCCTAACGCCGGGATCTGTTCTTATTGACTTTCTTTTCTGCGAAAGCTACTCGCGGGGTGGCGGGCGGGTTCGCTTGAGCGCGACCGACCGTCGCGGAATCTTGTCTCTTTTAGGTTGCTGGCGACTGTCTCGTATTCGGTAGACCGTGGACTCTTCGATCTTAACACGCGCCGAGAAATTAGAATTATTCGGGTCAGTTTTAGATAGTGTTCGCGTGGGCTTTCAGACGATTCTTCTTTTGCTAGTTTCATTTTCTTCGGGGTCACGTACACGTTGCAGGGAGTTGGCTGCTGTTACTTGCGCTTTTTTTTGAGGTGGGTTCTGAGAGTTCGTTTTTTTCTTTTTTGTAAAGTTGAGGTTCGTATGGTTTATTGATCGTGTTGGTTGGTGGAGTTTGAAACACTTTTTATTTTTATAGTTATTTAAGGTCGCGTTAACGTCGAAGAGATTGAAGCGCTTCATTTACTAAACAGTAATTTTTCAATTCATTGATACGTAGTTAAGGCTAGAATTGTCATGAATACTAACAGGATTATTTATAATCGACTGATGAGAATCATTAGACTGCTATGGAGATTCATGTTTTTCTGGACTAACTGATGAAGATAGAAATTAAATGGAAACTTTTTAGTGTAATAAATGTTTTTGCTAGGTAGAGAAGAATGTTATATAAACGTTTATCATTTTCTATTGGATTCGAAAGTCGATTCGTGTCTCACTATTTTTCAATGTAATCGTTTTCAAGTTTACATTCAGTTTTTTATCGAATAGAAATTATGTTTGTGATTTTTACAGTATTTTTTATAATCGATTGTCATCTTTATGGGGTATAGATTATTATACTTCTATTAATTTCCTCGTGGTGCTTTGATATCTTTATAGGATATAAGTCAAAGGAAAGATTAATCTTCAATATTCTTTTATACATCAATGTTTTAACGTCGCCAGTTCAATCATGAACATTGCAGTTCTGTATGCAAAACTATGCTAATTAATCGATCAAGCAGATTTTCCCAATATTTAATCAAACAAAAGCTAAGTTGGTCATGGCTTTTTAAACAGACTTGACTCAAGCATAATTACCCAAACGAAAAAATGAATTGCACATCCTTGACTTATCTTTTTATGTAGAACAAGTACCTGTTAATTAAACCTCTCTTATTCATTAGTCAACCAATCTCAGGCATACTCTACAAACTTTCAATATTACTTTCTCAAAAGTAATATCTCCAAGAAAAAACTCATACGAACGCAATTGCGAATTTTCATAAAGTTGTCATATGTTGGAGAAATTCATGTTTTGCCTATTACCAAGTTAATAGTCCATTACCAGTCTATCAGCAAAAAACACTGTTCCTTGTCTTCGACTGTTCCTTTATTCTAAAATTTACTCTTTCCTTATTTCACCCTTAACATTTCACACCAAACGATTTAGACACAGGGTCCACTGCCTTTAAGATATCACTATTGCGCCGCGGATTGTACCTCATTGCTAGAAACGCTAGCGAAAGGAGAATAGACTCCTTCGGCGCGCGACCCGTTCGAAGACTATCAGCGAGCTTTTCCACGAAAAATTGCGCACCTAATGATCCCGGATTATTGATGGATACATGACACAGATTGCCGTTAAAATCTCACTCGGACACGGCCGCCGCACCGCTCGGTGAAAATGTACATTTACGGCCGTACGTTTATTTGACAGACTGATTTGCCCGCGTGAGTTATACCTAGTCGCGATCGTTTCGTACCGGCTGTAAATTATCCGCGGCTCGCAACGGGATCGTCGGCTTCGATTTCTGTTTCACGCTGTCCGGTACGTTGAACGGTCGGCACCGGTTCCGCCGCTCGCAAATCCTCTCCTCTACTTTCCACGCGAATTTTCGCTGGCTAGGTCGGTAGGCAGGTACTCTTTGTTGCACGAGAGATGGTCTCTGTGATGGTACAAAGACAAAAGGGATGTCCCGCGATGTATTTTCTTTATAGTTTTGATTGGTCATGTGTTACTGTGTGTAAATGTGTCTAATGTAAAAATGAGTCCTGGGCTTGGAGCTTTGAAAGCTGTAGCCGCGAATCAGGCTTTAAAAAGTCGAATTCTTAGGGATCACGTCTTGAGCTGTAGAGGTTGAAGCCTTCAGGACTCCGGTCTTTGCTTGACAAATCGAGCGAAGAGTTTTCAGACTTTCAAGGTAGAGTTGTAAAGCTTTGGAGACTCTAGCCTTTAAATCCTGAATCGTCGAAATTTCAGCATTTAAGATTAGATCTGGAAATTTCGAAGACTTAAGCTTTGTAGAGCTCTATGCTTTCAAGACTCCGATTTTATGATTGAGCCTAGAAACTTCGAAGATAGGTTTTAGGTGGAACCTACAATCTTCGAAGACTTGACCTTTATAGTTAAACTTCGAAGCTTCGAAGATTAGAGCGTTTCAGAGATAAGAGAAGATGAAAACTGACCAATTAGACCCGCATTCCTTTCAGGGATCAACTCCTGTGCAACATTCTATAGGTTCGCGTACGCTTCAGGTACCTACCAGGTATCTGGCGAGGCGAGAGCCATCCAGGGGCCTCGTCCTCATCCCTCTCGTCTAAATATATCTTCTTCTGCTTTGGGCCCCGAGGCAGTCGATGCCGGGCCCTTAAGGGCCACGTCTGTCACACGTCAGCCACACGGGGAAAATAACAAGCGTTCACCTTCTCCTCTCTTCCTTCCTTCTCTCTTTCTCTTCCTCTGTCCACCTGGTCCTCTGCTGGTGATTTTTTGGTTATTGATCCCACCGACCGGAGGAGACTGTTTTCGTGGAACTTTCGTTTTCGTCTTTCGGCGCAGGAATGCTATTCGGCCCAGCCGTAAATAACTACCGGCACGGGTTGCGGACTTTTGGTGGATGGTAATGAGAGTTTGCACGGTTTACAGTTGCTGCTGAGTGTTGCTGCGAAAGAGGGCGGGGCGGAGGTGGATGTCAGGTGGTGTGAATTGGTTGTCAGCTGCGTGTTTGATGAATATTTTTATGGTGATTTGTGTCTTAGTGGTAAATATTTTTTGTAAATGTTTGTAAAAGAAATATTGTATGTTAAAGCTCTCGTTACTGTGAACGTTCTGGATACTTGTGTAAGGGTTAATTATCTATAATTAGATTAATTTTGAAAAGTAACGTGGATATTATTTGTTAATTGATCGTTAGAAGTCTTTGTACTGAATGCACCTATTAAATGTTGATAGACTGTGAATTTTTATGTAAATGTAGATTTTTTAAAAGTAGAAGCTGGAGGTCAGCAACATTTTTCTCTAAATACTGAAGGGTTTTATTATATTCAACAGAAACCGTAAGACTTATTAAACTTCCTTCAATTTTTTGCAATACTGAACTTTAAACATATGCTGCAACATAAAATCTGTAGTTTAGTCTATAATCTAGTTCGCCATTAAGTAGATAGCGGTAGACAAGGTAGCAGTTATATTTTAATTTGAAAGGCAACGTTTATTTCTAGACAGAATCTCTTTTGATGGAACGATAATGGTTGAATGTGAGTTGTAGCATTACATAATTTCAAACTAAACATGATTTAATGCTCGTCAATATAATTGTCTAAAAATCTTTGAGTTTCAATTTATAAATTGATTCCCCATTGTTTCATTATATTGCCAATATCGCGAGGCAAATGAGATTGCACTTATCAATTTCTGCAAAACAAACATTAAATTAAGGCTTAACGGCGTGTGAAAGTTTAATAGCTCAATTGCTTGTCTGTGAAATTCGTGAATATTCTATGAATGAATTATGTAAAAGTTTTATGACTGATTTCCTGATTGGGCTCGTAAGAGTTATTTTATTATCAATAATTTCCCAGCGGAGAAAGAAATTATATATTCATTGTAGGAGTGAACTTATGCGGACGTTAAATATTTATAAGCCAAAAATTGTATGTTCCTCCAATCAACTTATTCAATCGACTAAAAATAAATAATAACGATTTCAAATGAGTTATATCGCAATTAAGTCAAATAAAATTTAATTTAAGTTTTCACAGGTATTATGGCACAATTAAATTCAACCGCCCGTCACAAAATTAATAATCCAACCACCTATCGAGCAAACTATAAATTAATTAAATAAAAATTAAAATGAATATACACAACAACTTAATTTATTATCCTCGTTTAACAGATTAAAATTATTTTAAAATCTTAACTACGAGTCTGTCTCCATAATTAAAACACAAGAACTTAATTTGAGTATTACCGAATTACAGAATTAAAGACGTTATTAAAAAGGCATTAAAAAAATTCCGAAAAGAAATCCCACTAGAATCTTATCAATTCCCTTTGCTCTTTATTTCACGGAGTTAATCGGTTCGCCGAGTGAGTTCCTCAAACCAAAAAGATCAGACATCCCGGGTCATCGATCTCTTCAATTGTTCCAAGTCAATCATCGAGCCTCGCAACAAAACGATCCTGGGGCTCTCAAGAAAAGGAAGAAGCACGCGAGTTCGGTTCGGGCGTCACGCACCGTGCATCTGTCTTGTGCGCGCGTCGAAGTCTCCGATACCCGACCGTACGTGCGCCGTACGGACGTCTTTAGCGATCAGCGTCGGAGGAAACGCGACAAACAAAATTCACACTCTATTTTCTCCCCACATTTACTTCGGCATAGTTGTTCACCATTAGAGTAAATACGTGTTCGTTTGAAAATAAGTTTTCAGACTCACTATTATTATAAATGTTGATTACGATGCGTGGATGTTTCTATAATTAACACTGGAACTACCGATGCATTAAAAGCATTTAATATGACCGACGTGTAAT